TAAAACTGCAACCAGACCAGGCCAAAATCATTAAGCAGTCAAAAGAAGGATAAAGAGGTTCAATAGAATAGCACAATAGTTTTGCATTATTTAATTGTAAATGGTTACTGTAAGAACAGGAACAAATGATACTTAAAACAATTGCACGACCCAAAACCATAATAAAACATATGTAGTGATTGACACGCTAAAAGACATAAACATTATTTCACAACTTCAACAAGACATTTGTGACAGCTAGCTGTGTAAGTGTAAAACACCAACTATACCTACATCCATGCATGTACTACAGTGTTTTGAGATTTACAAAAGCACAATGCACTCAGAAAAGATTTTGGGTAAATTATTACACAGGGATATCAAAAGTGGGCTCTTGGCAAAGCCTAAGTTTTAGAAATAAATTCATCTGGCATTTTCTTGTTAAATTTGTTAAATCAGAAGAAAAGTACATATATCAAAGTATTACAGCAAAAACAAATTCAAGGACCCATTTGTTTAAACATTGACAATGAACTTAACATGCTAACTGTATCCTTGGTACATTGATCACAGGTCTGTGTCTTATACGTTCATCATTGAAGGGAGGGAAGGGGATATTAATGGATAGAATGTTTCACTTTGATAGAATTTGAGAATTATTCTTCCAATATTCAAATTGCCATTGACATGTATGTTTAAGCTGTTAAGCAGCATTTAACTAAAATTAAATAGTAGAATCATCCCATAAGGACTTAAATAGTCGACTGGCAGTAAACCATAATAAATATTTAATGGGCAGTAAAAGCATATATGCAAAACACAAACAAACATGCACTAGTACTCGTGCCAAACAAATATAGGAAGGCTATGTGTATAACAATGTAGATATGTACTGGACTTAGACTATAGGAGTACCCTGTATCAAAATACAGTAGTAGACAGTCAGTGATATAAAAAATACAGGTTGATGAAAACATTTACAAATAAATTATATCATTGTTTGGTTGTGTTTTATCTAGAGGTAGATCTGTAGGTCTATACTTAGAACTTGTATAAAAATAGGAAGCTTGTACACTAAATCAATGACTTCTTGTGAGCACTATAAAAACAATAAGATTGGCAGTAATCAAAAGATACAATCAGGCAATTGTACAGAGTTATTTGAAGTATTCAATTGAGCTGGTGAACTAGTACACCACTTAAATAACCTTGTAGATTATCTCCCCTGTTCTTTATTTAAGACCTTTTTTACTGGGCTGGTGTTTTTGTATATTTAACATCTACCTGCAGTAACGAGTATGTGACCCGATCATACACCTGAGTATTCAATTGACTATTGTCCCATTCATAACACCCGTCTTTCTAACGGAGGTATACTTTAAGCTAATATTTGTACAGTCGTTTGTTTTTCTTACACCCATATATGATATACAGTGAGTATTCAATATTACATACACATCACAGGTACCAAAATATTGTACATGTACCTATATATATGTGTAAGAAATACAACAACCGTGTAAAGTAGTGGAAATGTATTGTAGAAATTAAAAGGTATCGGTCAAGTTGTCCTGTTTGTAGTCCAGCAGCGTGGAACAATGTACATATATATACATGTATGATGTATTAATGGTGCTGTGCAAATATTGGTTGACGTACAATAGTGTAGTGGCTAGCTGGGCTGGCCGTCACTAGCAGCACCTAGCACCTAAAGCCCCTACAGTGTATGTCAGTAGCTACTACCCGAGGTCCTCAGGAATGTATTTTACATACGTACACTACCATACAATAGCAGCACCTAGCACCTAAAGCCCCTACAGTGTATGTCAGTAGCTACTACCTGAGGTCCTCAGGAATGTATTTTACATACGTACACTACCATACACTAGCTGCCAGTGTGGTCTTACTATTACCGTTTGCTTCCAGTGTGGTTAACATACATGTAGACTAAAGGTAGTTTTGTGCATGGTTTTATCAACCTAAAGGTAGTTTTGTGCATGGTTTTATCAACCTAAAGGTAGTTTTGTGCATGGTTTTATCAACCTAAAGGTAGTTTTGTGTATGGTTTTATCAACCTAAAGGTAGTTTTGTGTATGGTTTTATCAACCTAAAGGTAGTTTTGTGTATGGTTTTATCAACCTAAAGGTAGTTTTGTGTATGGTTTTATCAACCTAAAGGTCGTTTTGTGTATGGTTTTATCAACCTAAAGGTCGTTTTGTGTATGGTTTTATCAACCTAAAAGGTAGTTTTGTGTATGGTTTTATATAAAGTACCATGACTTCACCATTTGATACCATTTTCACTGTATCATATATATACTGTCTGATGTTGAAAGAATAGCAATAGTGCTACAATTAACTCAGCTAGAGGAGGTAAAATATATAGTTTTCTTTAACATAAGTGAGAGTTAAGAGAAAAGGTACAAGTTATTATACATATAGTACATCAAGTCCCAACCAAATGGCAGCTCTTATATATGTTCTGTATCTTGATGTAATGCATTAATCGATTACCCCTAGGCAACTTAAGTAGACTTTAACATCCATTTATGGGGATGAGTTCATTATTGTCTACGGTGGTGAAAGGGTGAAACCGGATACAGATTTAGCATTAATAAACACAACAGTGAGCTAGCATCATGAAGTAAATTCATTGAATTATAGATTATTATTTTCAAATCCTCATCTTGACAAAATCAGTGACAGCTAACCCAATGATACAAATGATTCCATCATGTGGTGTCAGGACAATGTAAAATGTAATTACAAATCCAAGTGTTCTCTTTTTCACTTTACCTCAATATATAGACTCAATTAACACATAGATATGTCCACAGCTATACCTTTTACAACACTCATTTTTATTATTTTAGCATTTATATCAAGATTTTTGGTGGTATATAAAGGTCATAAATATATACTGGAAAAATAAACATATAATGCTTTACATAATGTTTGCAAAGAAAACAAATGCTGAAAACTATAAATTTGGAATGTATAGATTTTAATTATTTCTTATGTATTGAATTTACAGTGTATGACTTCAATAGCCATTCAGAACAAATATCAATGTGCTATAATGCTACGATACATATAGGTAAATGAGTTTAGAGAAACATTGGACAGAGTACCTAAATTAAAATGTTACTGGACGATGTCAAGCAGGCCTCTAAATACAAGGCTTTTATCAATGTCTTAATTTTGGCCCTGACAGATTTGGGTATTCCCATTTTGGTTTGTTTGTGTTTTACGTCCTATTAACTCATTCACCCCTGAAATTTAATAATGAACTATTCCAACCTTTGTATTGGAAGAGTTCAAATGTGTCTTTAGGGGTGAATGAGTTAACAGCTATGGTCATTTAAAGACGTGCCAGGATTTGGTATCCCTGTGTCAGGATGTCATTTTCACACAGTACTTGTGAAGCAAGGATTGGAAGATGAAAATATTATGGTCAGACAAAAGGATGATGGGACCATGTTGGGCTATACCAAAGAGCAATGAGAATGTGATGGGCCAGACTGAAACCTGGAACTTCTGAACTCTAAACAGATTCCATTGTATCACTTTTCACTCCCAAGACTTTGGGCAAAATCACAGAAAACTATATATATTTGACAAGTGTTCCTTCCATTCTCATGTTTTATATTCGAAAATTATAAAACAATACTGAACATAATAAAACTGTTTAACCCTTTCACCCCTTGTGTACATATGTAACTTTAGTAGGCTCTACCATGCATTGATCTGGATGAGTCCATTATGGTCTACAGTGGTCAGAAAGGGTTAAGGATGACAATCCAGACTCTCCTCAATTCAACAATATATATTTCAACTTCCTGCCCTCAGTGGTATAATATGAAATATATGCTTTAAAAGATCACCTAAGCTACCTGCATATATATATAGACATTAGCGATTGACCAAGTGCAATTACATCATTTACATTGCAGTACTGCATGTCTAATTCCTTTTGATTTCTGCCTTATAATTTGGCATCTTTTGAGTTGATTTAATGGTTTCATAATAATTATTCATTATTATTAATTCAGATACCTCATGAATTTTTATTTCCAGTAAATACACAACTTATCCTCTACTCTCCAATCCCCGAGTGATTGTTACTATAATGTATAATAAACACACTTCAGTGTATTCAATGATACCAAGGTTAAAGATTTCTTCAATATCAGAAGCATGTCACACAATTGAGGACAGAATTGTAACTGAGTGAGACATGCTACTTGATAAGTAATATTAGTAGTAATACTTCTAGAAGTTCTGAGGCAGTAATTACTTGAATTTGATTTAGCTGTCACTGATGGAGAAGCAGCTTACCCTTCCAAAACACCTTATGGTTAAATTCCTAAATAATCTTTCTTTTGTTCATTATTCTGACCAAACTGTATCCAAGTTGATTTCGAATAACAGTTATGTCAACACTTCTGTTACCGTGTTTTTTATACAACATTTACCAGAGGTACAAAATTATCTAAATAGACACTTTAATTTCCCGCACTTGTGACTAACAATTCCATGTTAAAGAGGTCGCCATTTTTCCAATGCCTTCATTAGTAGGAGTTGAACCATCTTAGTTTTCTAGGGACCTCTGGTTTTAATTTCTAGCTAAATTTTACGCTCTACTGAATAATAAGCTAAAGATAAATTCTCCCTAGCCAATTCGTTAGGGAGAAGCTAGTATTTTATCAGACAATTAAATAGATTAGTTCTCTAAATATTGGGGGGAATTATCTACAAAGGTTTAGGAGAAAAACAGTTGTTTAAAAAGTTTATTAATTGGCATGTAAATTACTTTTTATAATTCCCAAAAAATGGTGAATATTTATTATTTCTTGAAACTGAGTGGGCACTATCGATTACATATTTTTGACAACATTTCAGGACAGTGGTACTTGTCAACATCTGTTTACCTGTTCAGGTAAATTCCAGATAACAATAGATCTAATGAGACACATCTGCTAGTCTAGTGACTAGTAGTGTACAGGTGTACGCTTGACTTACCAATTCCACAGCGACGATGTCTTTCAAATATACACTCTCCTGTAGATTTTTGGGAGGGTTTTCTGTTAAGTAGATGGACTCATCCCCCAGGATCACGTATTTGAACGCTTTGTTTTCCTTTTCGGACACAACTATACATGATTCGTATGCTCGCACACGCTCGAAAGCTTCGTCCGAGAGATTTCGCTTCAAATAACTTTCTAATTTTGTGTTCTTTTTAAATAGTGATTCGGATCCACTTCGAGCCATTCATACCCCTTATTCTTCGGTTTAACTTAACGGGGCATCCACGAAGCAGGAGGTTTGTGGTAAGACATGCTTTCCATGTAAGTTGTCAACATTTTCACTCTCGTTAACCATTCGTTGACACCGCTGCCAAGCACTTGCCGCTATGTAATTACTATGCAGGAAGTTCGGGTCATAGGTCATGTGCTTCTTTCTTACCTTACCAATGGCTACTAGAGAACTACGACGAAGGGAAATAACTTTTTTTTTTGGGAAACAACGACATAATCAGTTGAGACAGAGACACATTTAAAATCATTAATCAAAATGATTATTCTGTATGAAATAATACAGAAATAAATGAATGAGTGATATAGCACGTACTGCAGGGGGGGACCCAGGAAATAATTTTGGGTGTTGCCCAAAATTTTAAACTAAGAAAAAGACAGAATTTTTGCACTTATCTAAAAAAATATGAGAACTTCATGTATACTACATTCTGCCACAAAAAAAAAAATATATAGAACTTCTTTATTGCCTCTTTATTGCTGAGATTGGGACAATTATAGTTGCATTTTTTTTTCTTTCTGGAGAAGTAATCCTAAATTTTTCATGCACTACCGAGCGCAAAAGCAAGAATTTATAGGACATTATTTCCATTGACAAACAGATCGAGTGAGGCAAGTAGATTCAGATCATAATGCGCGATTCTACATGTTTTTGTACATGTAGTTCATCGATATGAATTATGATTTAATTGTTTGTCTTTCATTGTGAAATAGTATGCATACATATGAACAAGGGCCTAATGAAAAGGATGTACACGCCAGGCTTCTATGCTCACATTGGTTGTTAATCACCTGATGAAGTGATGTTAAGGAAGGTGCTTCATTGTCTTTTTAAATTATATCTTTTAATTGATATAATAAATCACTCCTGGAGATCTTGTGTACTTGGAAACCACCGGTGAAAAGCCTATGTATACCTAATTCCAACAGATGGTATAGTCAGTCCGGCGGAGGGGACTATAAACAGTGTCCCGTGTAGGAGGGTCCAACCTGCACGTAAAAAATCCCTCTGTGTATTGTCGAAAGAGTAGGCGCGTAAACGCCGACACAGAGGATAGGGATAGATTAGATTGCATTTATTCTCAACGATTCGACGGATTTCAAAAATATAGGAACAAAACAAAACACAAAATAGAGTAGGACATAAGTAAAGGACAGCCTGGATACGGTACACCCTCCTCCTAGACCAACGCCATGATATGATACGACCGGTGATCTCCCCATCCTTTTTTTATATAATAAAAACTCCAATAAGACACATATAGTATAAGCCCAACAACTTATAGAACCCCATAAGAACATCTACTAACAACCATTTTTCCTTTTTCTTTTTTTTTCCTTTTTTTTCTTAATAAGACATACACCAAAGAATTAAGGGTAAATATCTGCATACACCATAGGGACCCCTCGGATAATCTCAAACTCCGGCCAAGTCTGACAAGGAAACAAAGTACTGTACCTAACGGAAGCAGAGACGTTTCCCTATTGTCGGGCAGTAAGAGACCCGAGGTACATAACAAATATAATATATATACCTCCCTATAAGAACAGGAATATATGCAATAAATACACTTTAAAAATAAACAAATATTTTTATTTTTTATGTACATATATACATTAATATAAGCCACATTGGCCAATTTCGAATCCCCTCAACGACACAAATACATTAGTAAGGATCAACAATCACATATACATCATCCGGCAAGACACACCATTTCGTCTCCAAATTACAACACAAGATAAGGATAGGATAGAATAGACGACTCCAAACCACCCTCGAGGGAAGGCAACTTCCCTCATGCCGACCGAACACTGACTTCCGTCAGTGAGATGAAACCCGTAAGGGCGGATTCATGTAGGCGCGAAACCCGTCATCCATCCATCCAGATGGTATAGTCCTCTCCCAACTGACGGGTTGATCACCACACCGTGACATTAGAACAATAAGATTAGATAGAGTCAGTCCGGTGAGCCCTGACCACTGGAGACCCCTACTAAGAGGATCAATCCCCTTTTGTTTAGATCATAAGTGCAGTGTACTATTGGAAAAAGCCATCCATGTTTAAATTTATACAATTATTGTGTGTTAACAATACTAAGGAATTATGTCAACTTGGTAAATATATTTTTGAAGCTAATAAGTTAGAAATCTAATTTATTTACTCCACTCTCTCACTGTGTATTGTGAGCCGTGTTGTTGTGTATATTATGCATTGTATTGATATGTTTGTACTGATGGGCCGTAAGGCCGAAAGTTAATAAATGAATTGAATTGAGTGTAGTGGACTCCTTGTTTTGGCAACACCCTTAGGCATATATAGATATTCAAACTGCTGGCAAAGGGAACCCTTAGAAAAATCATAGTTCAAGGGATGGTCGATATTAGAAGAATATCCCATATGAAATAGAGGAAAGTCTTCAAAAACCTTGGTCCAGATTATTTTTGGACACAGAAAAAAGGTTGTTGCCCGGGTAACTAGGGCAACACCCCCTGGGTCCGCCACTGCGTACTGTGTATACATACAGCCAGAGACGTATATATGTTATATAATATAAATACGTCTCTTATTCAGACGAATGCTTTATATTACTAGACACTATAAAAAATGGAGACATTATGTATTCCTAACACCAGAAACGTGTATTGCTTATAAATGTGTTAAAGGAGGTACCAATTGAGTCACTGATGTCTTGTTTTTTGCAATAGTCGGGGAAGCTATTGAAAAAAACAAATAGGACATTGTCAACTCTTATTAAGCGAAAAGGAGATACGCTGTTTTATGTTTTGTTTTAGGTAATAAATACATTGAGATCTGTTTTGTGACGGATATATTTCAGCATATATTAAACTCATCCTACAAAACTGGCGCCTGACAAGCAGCGTCCCGACGTATATGAAGGTTGTTGGTTCTCAACTTTCAACACGTGCAGGCTCCTATTGTATATCATTATAGAGGCGAAAAATGTACCCCTCCCCCGGGTAGAACTTGATGAGGTTGAGTCTGTTCTTCTGTGTTTTATGCCGTTGCCTTAGAAAAAAATAGCGTCACATAATAAAGTAGAATTTGCTTCACATATAACATACAGTTCCTTCGATTCTTCTCGTAATTAAGTTTTAGTAACACAACTGAAGTCTCAACAATATATTTTCAAAAAACTTCTCTTTCTCAGGAGTCAACCCTGTTATATGAGGCGATTAATGTGGGAGCGCCCTCTAGAGCACTGGGAACTTGCTCTCGTGTCCTCTACTTAGGGACACAAAAGCAACACAAACATATCTGCCGATTACTCAGCTGCACCCATTGCAACATTTAGGATCTTTATGTTTTCCCTCCTCTAGCTTCCAAACACCCTTTTTCTTTTCTATCGCCTTCCTTGCCAATAGATTCTGTCCCCAGGCCGGGACATGTATAAATGTACACCAAAAGTCCCGGAATACTCTGCTGGATGCCTTCGGCAGGTATTGCAGAGAGGCGCACCGTGCAATCTACTGTCCTGAAAGCACAGTGGAACGTCTTGAAATGACTTCATTTGTTCAGAGGACATTAAACAAAAAATAGAACCAGAGCCTAACCCTTTTTTAATCCTAAGATCAATATAAGTCTAAAGAGAATTTTTCAATGATGCGCTCGTCTGTTCACCAAAAAGTGATATCATAATAAATCGTATACGCATCATAAGTTGTCTTCTCTTTACCTCTTCGTCGACACCGTTGTTAGCTTGAAGTAGCTAATATAGTTTTTAATAGTTTTGTTGTTGTTTCCCTTGTTGTTGTTTGTGTAAAGGTGAAAAATTTATCTTTACCAAGTATATCAATGTTGTTGATTATTTTATAAACCTCTACTAGATCATTGCATTTTCTTCTATATTCCAGTGTAGGTAGGCCTAATCTTCTTATTCTTAAATCATACGAAAGGTTTTTTAAAGATCGAATTCTTTTGGTAGCTCTGCGCTGGACATTTTCCAAGGCTATTTGGTCCTTTTTCAGAAAAGGGGACCGGACCTGGGTAGCGTATTCCAAGTTGGGCCTAATGAGACTCTTGTAAAGTGTAAGAAACATAGTTTTGTCCATGTAAGTAAATGTCCTAAAGATTGGTCCTAGTGTGCGATTTGCTTTGTTAACAGATTGACACACATGGTGGTTAAATTTCAGTTTGTTGTCAATTGTTTCACCTAGGTCTCTCTCTTTAGTAACTTTCTCATACTGTTCACCTGAGGGGAAGTAATATGTAGAATCTTGGTTTAGGTTACCAATATTTAGATGTTTACATTTTTTGGTATTAATGTCATTGTTCAATCTGATGTCCATTGAACGATGTTATCGATGTCAGTTTGTAGTCCTGCAGACCCTGTTTGCCTAGAGATGTTTTTGAATAGTTTTGAGTCGTCAGCAAAACGTTTTACTACACTTTGTTTGACTATATCATGGAGGTCATTAACGTAGATTAAGAAAAAAGGACTGGACCAAGGACACTACCCTGGGGCACACCACTCGTTACATCCACCAGACCAGACAATTCACCGTTTATGGATACTCGTTGTCTTAGATTTGAGAGGAAATCTTGAATCCACTGGAGGATTTTACCAGTTATTCCGTACCGTTGAAGTTTTTTTCAGTAAGCAGTTGTGAGGGACCTTGTCAAATGCTTTACTGAAGTCTAAGTAAATAGTATCACTATTTTCTCCTTTATCTATTTTCTCTGCCCATTGTCCATTACTTCCAGTTGGTTTGTTGTACAGGATTTCCCAGCTCGAAAACCGTGTTGGTGGAGAGTGAAGAGCTAGGTTGCTATTGTCCATGTGTTCTACAATTTTGTCGCGTATTAGTCTTTGTAAGGTTTCCCTTGATATAGATGTTAGACTTATTGGGCGGTAGTTATAGTTTTCAATTTTGTTGTGGTTTCCGCTCTTGATGATAGGTGTTACATGGGCAGTTCTCCAGTCGTCTGGAATCTTTCCTTCATCAATCGATTTTTAAATATGATCTCCAAGGGTTCAATGAGTATATATGTCTACATGTACTTCAATACATTAATTCATGATCTTTGAACAACATGCTGAAAGGCTTTTTAATTATTATCAGCTATTTTTTATCTCCTGTTTCATAAGTTATCATATCTTATGCTTCATTTTGAAGCTACCATTGTTTTATTAATTATTTATATATTTTAACGCACTTCTGTGCACTAATTCAAAGTATGGTTAGCTTCATGTACTATTTGTAATTTTGAATCCATCACTTTATTAATGCTATTTTGTGTGATGAGAATTAAAACATTATTTTTTAGATGAAAATTAAGTGTATGTCATATTTTAATACAACATGGACATTTCAGTGGACTGGTCAGAGAACGGAAAAATTGTGTGTGATCTATCTATTTTTCAGGAATATTAACAGAGTTATCTTCCTTGCCCGGAAGTAAACAAAAACGAATAGTCAGAGCTCTGCAGTTGAAAATGAAGCTCCGTTTGAAGTTTGGTCTGGAAACAAAAGTTCAAGAATTAGATGATGCATGCTCAGTGTCAAGCCTTTATAATGTTGTGTATGAACTGTTTCCGCAACTGAAATGGTAATGATTGCCGAATAACGGAGTAGAGATGACAGACGCCGCCCGCGGCTTCTGCAATCATACCCTCTCCCCGAACAACACAAAATATGCAGTTGTAGTTTAGACAGTGTCTTACACTCAAACTTCATTTTTGTTTGTGATACATGCTAGACAGCACCTTCAATGTTAAGTACTGATCCTCTTGATTTGTGCTAGTGAATGTGTGTCTTTATTTATTTTATTTACACTCAAACCTCATTTTTGTTTGTAACCCTTAAAGTTAAGAATTTTCCGTAGATTGTTTCGCCCTTAAAAAAAAATAAAAAAAATAGGGCGTTACATTATTTGGTATTTTCTTTCAATTTTAAATGGGATACGAAAAGGTCTTTTTGTCAGGTTAGCAATAAAGGAAGCCGACTTTGGATGAACAGGTCCAGTTCATTAATTTGTCTCAATACAGACAGAGTCTCCATTTATCACCCTATGAGATAGACCAATTTAAATTCTGAACCAGAGGGTTCCAAAAGAATTCTGTAACAGGAGAAAGAGAAATGCATTGGCCAGACCAGGGTTGTGACCCGCTGAACTCTAGGCAGATGCTCTACAAAGTGAGCTACACAGTCCAGTTCCGCTACAATTCATATAATAGTCATGGTCACATCAACCAACTACAGCATCAAATTTAGGGTCATATTGAAACAAGGAACGATCAATAACATAAATCACATAAGTTTAGATAAGTTTGATGTAATTAAACAACTTTGTTGAACCCTAACTGTTATCAGTGTCCATCTTGATTTTGAAAAAAATATTGCGAGCTCAACACACAAAATGTATACTTTCATGGTAAATATTAACAACTCGTCTCCAGCCATGATATAAAATATGCTAGCCCTGGACATCAGGTTAGAAGATTTGTATGTGCACCTGTATAATCTGATAACTATGTATATGTATCCCCAATATGTAGCTTACTTATACAAATACATCAAAAATATATGGTAAGTTAGACTAGTATATTTTAAAATCTGCTTGCGAGATAGTGCTTTAAATGTGAAATTGTACAACTCTGATTTATATTTTGATAACTTTCTTAAAAACTGGTGTTTTGTTTCAGTGAATTCAAGTTAAGTCTTAACAAGAAAGATGCATTGGAAGATAACAAGACTCTGGCTAGCCAAGGAATTGTGTCTGGGGACCTTGTTTATGTGGTGACCTCGGTGAATGACGATACAGCCAAACCTGTCTGTAAACAGCAACTCTTGTCTAAGGAGTGGACAGATTCTGTTCAGCAGACATCCGGAGTAGATAGTCAGGGTAACTTTACACAGACAGTACGTACTGGGGCTGCATCTGCCTCAAGCTCCTCTCATGCAAACATAAATGTCAGTTTAGCAGCAACATCACAACTTTCCGAAGAATGCTCAAACTCTGACAACATTACAACTTGTAGAGGTCTCAACCAGCAATCGATGTCAAGCTCCTCGGAGACAAGCACTCAAGGTCAGCAGGAATCTGAAATGGACACACATGAACAGATGACAAACATCATAGAGGAACGTGTGGACCATGCTGTGGTCAACAGATATTTGAACGAACCTGTGTTATGTCGTGAGAGCCATGGGCTGGTAGTTCCAGCCATGCTTAGCGATGTGTATCAGACTGCTGGGATCTCGTGTTCTGCCGAGGCCATGTGTACAGTTCTACATGTCCTGATGCTGGAGACAGGATATACAACTGTTAACAAGGTGATTGTGTCAAAAGTGATTTTAAAGAGAGAGTGTGTGCATGATTGTTTAGCTTTTTAATTTAACTAACTAGATAATATATACTAAAGTATATTCCAAATAGTCAACTTTATTGAAACAAACTTACCCTATTAATTTGAAGTGATGTTTTGGTTCCTAGAGAAGTAGATAAGTTTTTTAATTTTACTTGATAGTTACATAAACTATTTATGTTTGTAATGAATATTCACAGATGTCAGATATATGACATGTACAGTGGTGGTGTGTCAGATATATGAACATAAACTATTTATGTTTGTAATGAATATTCACAGATGTCAGATATATTACATGTACAGTGGTGGTGTGTCAGATATATGGCATGTACAGTGGTGGTGTGTCAGATATATGATGGTGGTGTGTCAGATATATGACATGTACAGTGGAGGTGTGTCAGATATATGATAGGTACAGTGGGGGAGTGTCAGATATATGATATGTACAGTGGTGGTATGTCAGATATATGATATGTACAGTTGTGGTGTGTCAGATATATGACATGTACAGTGGAGGTGTGTCAGATATATGATAGGTACAGTGGTGGTGTATCAGATATATGATAGGTACAGTGGTGGTGTATCAGATATATGATATGTACAGTGGTGGGGTGTCAGATATATGATAGGTACAGTGGTGGTGTGTCATATATATGATATGTACAGTGGTGGTGTGGCAGATATATGATAGGTACAGTGGTGGTGTATCAGATATATGATAGGTACAGTGGTGGTGTGTTAGATATATGATATGTACATTGGTGGTGTGTCATATGTACAGTGGTGGCGTGTCAGATATATGCCATGTACAGTGGTGGTGTGTCAGATATATAATATATACAGTGGTGGTGTGTCAGATATATGAACATAAACTATTTATGTTTGTAATGAATATTCACAGATGTCAGATATATCACCTGTACAGTGGTGGTGTGTCAGATATATAATATATACAGTGGTGGTGTGTCAGATATATGAACATAAACTATTTATGTTTGTAATGAATATTCACAGATGTCAGATATATTACATGTACAGTGGTGGTGTGTCAGATATATATGGACAGTGGTGGAGTGTCAGATATATGATATGTACAGTGGGGGTGTGTCAGATATATGACATGTACAGTGGTGGGGTGTCAGATATATGATAGGTACAGTGGTGGTGTGTTAGATATATGATATGTACAGTGGTGGTGGGTCAGATATATGACATGTACAGTGGGGGTGTGTCAGATATATGATATGTACAGTGGTGGTGTGTCAGATATATGATATGTACATTGGTGGTGTGTCAGATGTACAGTGGTGGCGTGTCAGATATATGACATGTACAGTGGTGGTGTGTCAGATATATGATATATACAGTGGTGGTTTGTCAGATATATGATATTTACAGTGGTGGTATGTCAGATATATGATATGTACAGTGGTGGTGTGTTAGATATATGATATGTACAGTGGTGGTGTGTCAGCTATATGATATGTACAGTGGTGGTGTGTCAGATATATGTACAGTGGTGGTGTGTCAGATATATATGTACAGTGGTGGTGTGTCAGATATATGATGTGTACAGTGGTGGTGTGTCAGATATATGACATGTGCAGTGGTGGTGTGTCAGATATATGATATGTACAATGGTGGTGGGGCAGATATATGATATGTACAGTGGTGGTGTGGCAGATATATGATAGGTACAGTGGTGGTGTGTCAGCTATATGATATGTACAGTGGTGGTGTGTCAGATATATGTACAGTGGTGGTGTGTCAGATATATATGTACAGTGGTGGTGTGTCAGATATATGACATGTACCGTGGTGGTGTGGCAGATATATGATATGTACAGTGGTGGTGTGTCATATATATGACATGTACAGTGGTGTCAGATATATGATATGTACAATGGTGGTGTGTCAGATATATGACATGTACAGTGGAGGTGTGGCAGATATATGTCATGTACAGTGGTGGTGTGTCAGATATATGATAGGAACAGAGGTGGTGTGTCAGATATATGATAGGTACAGTGGGGGTGTGTCAGATATATGATATGTACAGTGGCGGTGTGCCAGATATATGATAGGTACAGTGGTGGTGTGTCACAGATATGATATGTACAGTGGTGGTGTGTCAGATATATGTACAGTGGTGGTGTGTCAGATATATATGTACAGTGGTGGTGTGTCAGATATATGATATATACAGTGGTGGTTTGTCAGATATATGATATGTACAGTGGTGGTATGTCAGATATATGATATGTACAGTGGTGGTGTGGCAGATATATGATAGGTACAGTGGTGGTGTGTCAGCTATATGATATGTACAGTGGTGGTGTGTCAGATATATGACATGTACAGTGGAGGTGTGGCAGATATATGTCATGTACAGTGGTGGTGTGTCAGATATATGATATATACAGTGGTGGTTTGTCAGATATATGATATTTACAGTGGTGGTATGTCAGATATATGATATGTACAGTGGTGGTGTATCAGATATATGATAGGTACAGTGGCGGTGTGTCAGATATATGATATGTACACTGGCGGTGTGTCAGATATATGATATGTACAATGGTGGTGGGGCAGATATATGATATGTACAGTGGTGGTGTGGCAGATATATGATAGGTACAGTGGTGGTGTGTCATATATATGATATGTACAGTGGTGGTGTGTCAGATCTATGACATGTACAGTGGTGGTGTGTCAGATATATTATAGGTACAGTGGTGGTGTGTCAGATATATGATATGTGCAGTGGTGGTGTGTCAGATATATGATATGTACATTGTTGGTGTGTCAGATGTACAGTGGTGGCGTGTCAGATATATGACATGTACAGTGGTGGTGTGTCAGATATATGACATGTACAGTGGTGGTGTGGCAGATATATGTCATGTACAGTGGTGGTGTGTCAGATATATGATAGGTACAGTGGTGGTGTCACTGATGTACATGTATGGTTCATTCAAGTGTATAACTATTACATTTTAAGACTCCAACATTGACTTCAGTTGTTATGGTAATTTTTTTTATTAAAACATTTTTAGAATATCTATATATTCACCCTATCAGTATACTTTCCTCCAATATATAATTACATATCCTTGTGTTCATGACTAGCAAGCTGCACAGCTTTGAATTCTTAACATAAATATTTTTTCTATCTTTCATTACAGAAATCTTCTGTTCCTACAACTTTGACTGAAGAGCAGGTTGTCTCTCAGAAAACCCCAGACACTGGTACTTTACATACTAGCTGTGATGAAACTATTGCTGACAATTCCTTCCCTGACAGAGAAATGCCTGTGGGATGGCGTGACAAGCCTGGCCAGTACTCCCTGACCTACACACATGTACAGCCCAACTGTACGGAGGAGAACCCATGTTTTGTTGTTACCTGTGTCAGTATGGGTACAGTCCTGGTGGTGCATGGTGAGCATTATAATTTATATATGGGCTGCTTTAGTTTTTCATGTTCCAAAAGGTTGCACTAGAAATGTGGTCTTGTCTTCTGACAAGCCTTGACCATGTCTTTCTAAGTCGATGTCTGTATATGTTTAAAGGTCTACTGGGATGTACGCCTGAAAATGTGAAAAGTATATTTGAAACTAGACATTGTGCTTTAAACGAAAATGTCTTTTGTCTTTAACATTGGGAGGAAATTTAAAATATCCAAGTCAGAAGTAAAAATTAAAAAAAATCAACAAAAATTCTAAATAATTATCTTGAACAAAAATACATCAAAAAATAAAATGTGCATAGAAAAGTTCTATGAATTTAAACCATTTATCAAAAATTTAAGATTGAAATATCCTACACACGACGTCATTTTTTGAGTATGTGATTTTTAATAGAAACAGGGTTATTGTATACATGTACAACAGTGTCATTTGTCCCCTGTACCTTTCTAATAAGTTCACAAACTAATCCTGAATCTAATTAATGATTATATCAATATGTTGATACTTTTAATTTGAAGGTCGACTAAGAGGAACTGAGGACAACTGGTCATGTCACGTAAACCTGAACACAAAAGATTTCATCAGAAACACAGATCATAAAGGTATAAAGGGGAGATAACCAAGTCTTTGTTACAAGCATGATTTTACAGCCAATAGTTTGAATAATTTTACTGAACTTATCAAATTCAACACCATTATTAAAAGTGTGTACCCTGGTAAATACACAACTTAGTATGCATATCATGCTCACGGTACACTCGGAAAGGTCAAGATGTTAACAAAATGTCTTATAAAAAATATGGGATTGTATTGTAAATACTGTTTATAGACAGTGTGAATATCTTTTGATAGGAGCTTGTGGCTGTTATCAAAACTTAAAGAAGTTGTCTAGGGTGTTCAAGGATTCCATAGCCCTACCCATGCTGCAGCAACACAGAACAGGTATTCAACTACATATTACTGTTACATATCGGCTGTCAACAGTCCAGTGAACAATTCCACATTCATTTAAAGGCATTTCTTTGTTGTAACCCCCTCCTTGTTGCTTTTCTCTTGAATAATCTAATACATGTAAATGGTCTGGATAAAAAAAAAAAAAAAGTCATGTGACTAAAAAATATATAAAAAAAATATGACAATTTGATTCACATGACTGTATACTCATATATAATTTAATAAACTCTTGTGCAATTAACACATTTCACAAATAGCTATTATTTCTAGTTCCATTAAACCATTTTTATTTTTTAATCAAAGCTGGAATTATAGGAAAATCCTAATACTTTAAAGGAACACTAAGTTGTGGCCAATCTGATGGTTTGTAGGTACTTTGACTTATTGATATGTACATGGTTGCAGTAGGCTGATATTGAATGACACATATTATATTGTAATACATGAACTGTTCACAGGACAGGGGCTTCCTCCTCTCTATGGAATCTTCGCCGTCAGCCATGAAGTCAAGGTAGGTAAGAGAGTGAATAGACATCTGCTTTTTAATACGCTGTGTGACTAGATAAATTAGTCCACTACCTGTGAAACCATTGGGGTATAGGGACTACAGGATTGGACCATCTCTATCTGTTCCCTATTCTTGTCCAGGCTATAACAGCTCAATATTTTTTAATGATGCGTAGCACAAATGGATAGTTGTTTCATCATTTAAAGCGTTTCTCTAGACAAGCAAAATGTCAAATAAACTTTGGCCTAAAATTTTGACATTGAACTTTAAAACAGTCTAAAAATATGCCATGACACACCTCCTAATGATGGTATCATTGTAACGTCTTATAAAAATATTTCCATTGTTTAAAAATTTATACAAAAGTCATTTACTCTTGACAATTAAATATTTAAAGACAAATTTGTTTGAACTTTGTCCTTTTATGATCTTGATATGTGCTAATTTTGTAAGATCCAGAAAATACATTTGTAACAGATGATCGGACAACACTGTACAATAATACATGCCATTGAGACGGGTATATAAAGTGCACGTGTAATGTTTCAATATAAGTACCTCTGTTAAATTAAGAAATTGTATACTGGCTTTAGTTGAAGATCCTGGGAATGTTGGATGTTGTGAGTTTGCTGAAGTTGTCGGAGACTTGTAAAGAGTTTAACCATTTGTGCAAGGACAAATATGTCTGGAGACGAATTTACCTGAAGGATTTTGGCAGTAAGTTCCATAACTCAAAATTCATAAACTCATAACTTTAAAGATAGTTTGGCCACCAGATATTGTTTAGCTTAAAGAGTTACATTGGTGACAAAAAGCTGTGTACTTGTATATAGATTGTTGAACGAACAAAAATTGTTGGTAGTATTTCAGGAAAATGGGTTGTGGAAAGGTGGGGATGGGGTACAAGGTTATATAAATATTTTAAAGACTAATCCTTAAGAGTGGATTAAAGGATTTTTACCTAATTTGCATAAAATATCCTGATCTAACGGGATGCAGTGTTGTATAAATGAACTGTATAGCCTATCCTTAGGCAGGGTTGTGTAGCCCAATAGGAGAAATAAAGGTAAACTTTAGAGGACTACACCAGTACTTGAACGGTATTGGTAAATTTGATAAGAAAAAGTCCTGAGTCAGAGAACTTTAATTTTCTATAAAGAATGAGGCAGAGAAGGGGGGACTGATAGAGGCAAAGGTGATAAATCTTAAAGTCAGCTTAATGATGGGTTATCGTGTTATACCTAAACAACCTTAGAACAGAGGAATGGGGACAAATAGACGCTGAAACACGTTTTAACCTCGTTACCAAGTTTCTTAAGGTCAGTTAATATGAAATTCACTGCAACTGGTCATCTCATGGCCCTAGCTTAGTATTGTTGATTTTCCAACTGATTCAAAGTCCAAGATGGCCACCATGGCCTCTGTTTGACAGCAATGATAGCAAATCAGGAAATTGACGTTTTGGCTTTGTTTAGTTAGTTGTTGACTTGTTGTAAATTTGAAAATGTTCTTGTACTTAATTTCAAAGTTTCTTGCTTTATTTCTGGGGTGGCTCCTTTATTGGATAAAAATAAATAAAAAATAAACGTGAAAACCAATCTGATTAAAACCAGATTTTGATTCCACTCCTGATACTCTGCGTTCCAGTCAAAGCGTAGAGTATGGGGAGTGGATTCAAAGATCTGGTTTTAATCAGACTGCTTTATATTTCATTTACATGCAGAAAAATTGAGAAACCAAATTTAGTGGGAATGATTTAAGTTTTACTCTTTTTAATCAAATTGTGTAAAACTTAAACATTGACTATTATCATAGTACACTATTTCTTTCCAGATCGAAATAACAATACTTTGGCACAAGACTGGAGTAGAGTAAGTATATATCTGGCTGCTGTATGAAGAGGTAAAAAAACCCCCATACATTTTCAGAGCATTTTTCAACAATTTACAGAGAATGAAAATGATGTTTAATAATATCTGTTCGGAAAGGTCAGCTTTTAGTATGTGGCAAATATTTTCTGGTTTACATTCCATTTATATGTTTTCAACGAAAACACAGCAGAACTCAAGCCATGTGTCACATGTAAAATTGATATAGTGAAAGTGGTAAACCTAGAGATGCTGAACACTGATGCCGGTGGATCACCTGGCGTACACCATTCTTGTGGACAGTCTAGCCTTGGCTTAATTAATGTACTACACAAGGAGCTTCTGACTGTGAATACTTTTAACATTAAACCATGTGTCTGACACTCCTATGTTTAATCTGTGTAGTTCAATGCAATGCAACACTATTGGATTTATTTTTTATGATTCCAATTACAATTCTTTAGACTAGGTTATGTATAGTGGCTTCAATATTTGAATGGAGTCATTGTGATGTCTTGTCAAAAACAACTGGTAGATATCCAATGCTTCCTTCACGATTCAATTCAGAATAAAAGGTCCTATTATAATAAATAAATATAACCTACAAAGCAGTTTATAGGGCTTATCTTCAGTGCAATTCACTAACCAAGGATTGGGGATTGTTTTGACAGCTGTACAGACAAGAGTACAAGTTGAGGAAGGAGAGGAGAAGAATATGGAATAGAAACCCAATGCCAATGTTTGGTCCGCCAGTGCTCCCTTCCTTTGGATTACCTCCCCCTGGACCATTCCATCCTGGCTTTCTAAACGGGGACCATGACCTTGATCCAGTTACTGGCCCTTTCGATTGTGAGTTCTTATAATAGTGATAAATACAGTGACATGGTTAAGATTTGTGTTTTATTTTCTCACATGAATGTGATGGCATATAAAACTTGTGGCAATAGGCGTGCTGTTTCTAGTTCTGCGTTACTTATAAGTCCACTGCTTGTTAGTGAGCCATATGTTTGTACAAATGTGTTACCAACACTTAATTACCACACTCAGGTTTCTTGCACCTATTTAGATGTATTATGCAGTAATTTTATCACAATATATCATTGTACTACTACAGACCACAGTTAGAGATAAGATGGTCTCGCAAAATATAATTATTATACAGATATTGTGTTTACATCAGTTTTATGGAAAAAGACAAGCTGCATTTTAAGTGAAATTTTCCGGTAGAAAGGCAATTCTTTAGTTTTCCTTTAGTTTTCTTGTGTCACGAAAGAAAAGTTAACATGAACCAAACATGTTTTAAATAAACAATTATTTCAAAATTTGTTTTCTTAAAAGAAAAAAGTCTGAATTTTGAATTTTTGGCAGTGCTTCTGTTTATTCTTTTCAATAGTATTCAACTATGATTAATCTTTGGACCATTACAGGGAGACTGATGCCAAATTCACAGCGTAATCAGCCGGGCAGTGCCTTATTCCGTCCCCGGTTTGACCCTGTGGGGCCCTTACCTGGTCACAATCTCCTACCAGGGAGGAGCAGTAGTCATCGAGATAGAAGGGGGCCTTTTGGTGGAGGATTTGGTGGAAGGCGGATGTTCTAGGGACATTGTGCTTTAATATGTCAAAATATGCATTATATATACATACGGTAGACTAAAATTTTCATGATTTCACTCTCGTGTGTTCATTCTGTTTATTTATCAATAGGCACTGTAAGAATTACTTGATGTCACTTATGTAAAAATAAATAACTGATCAACAGAACTTGACAAAGTAAATGCTTTTCTGTTCAGTATTCCATATCATAGTGAATTAAGAAATAAATTTCAAGGAGTAAACAGTTTTTACCAAAGTATTGACCGGAAACCAGTACATATATATATATATATATGCTTCCCAATCCTATTACTTGGCAGTAACTCCCCTAATCTTGGAAAGAAATTGTAATACAATGTACTGGGATAAATAAACAAGAGGCCCATGGGCCTTAATGGTCACCTGATATATCTATACAGAGAGTTGATTTGGTTTTTAACATGAACAGAAATATTATTCAAAGTGACAAAAAACAATAAAACCACCTTATTCAATATCTAGCATACAGATTTAAGACTAAAAAGTATTTGAAACTAGCACCTCCGATTCTAAACAAGGAAAATAAAGAAATTTTAGCACACTGACTCCTTTGAGTCCCACTCTACAGCCCTTGCTCAAAATTTTCAAAGTATCAAACTGTCAACTTAGGGTTATAATTCCAATCAAGTTATTAAGGTCATAGGAGTGTATTGAAATAGGAAGTACATCCCTAGTTGAAAATCCAATGTAGGGAGACAGAATCACTATTTCCGCATAATCTAATGTTTAATATTAAAGTGATGAATATTGTATGCTTATTATTGACATAACAGTGTGTTCTTTCAATATTTAAGTATTGCAAAGCGATCCAGGCATTAATTCAGTTGTTTTTTAATCAATGAGTCACATGTGTCCATTTTTCTGTACTTCAGAAACCGGCTACCTATTTCACTACTGTGAAATTTTTCAAGAACGATAACTCTTGCATTCAATTACTACCTGGTATGTGTATATGCTTTTATTATAAAATGACAATTTTTAATCGTTTATAGATAATTAATTGTACACAATTTCAGCATTTATGAAAATGATATACATTAATACTAGTATCATTTTTATTGACATTATTTTGCCAAAAATTGTGTTTCAATTTTTTTTCAAAATTCACTCCTTTTTACATAAATTTCCTTTTAAAATCCTTAAAATTCTGACAACCTATATTTTTTTTGCGGCCGAAAATTTTCATTACTTCAAAGCAATATATCTACAAAATTTGAATAAATTCTACTGAGAAATGGCGACACAATCCTATTACCTTAACATGCAATATTCAAAGTATCATTTGCCTTTATAAACCATAAAAAATTTTGCCCCCCCCCCCCCTCCTTCCCCAGGTGGTAAACGTGAGACCCTAAGGTCATAAACCTGAAGACCCTTCCATCTATGAAGAGTGTTTGATTCTACCATATCTGGGTCTTTGAGAAGAAGATTTTTGAAATTTCAGTCAATTCAACCCTTTTTGGCCTCACCCATCAGCCCCGGGGGGTCCGTCAGGGCTCATATGTGCATACCATCAAACTGCTACCCATTACTGATAACCCAAATTTGAATTATTTCAAATGGAAATTAAATAAATGTTAGTCCAAAATGTGATTTCCCTATATAAACTATAGTAAAGTTTACCCCCTCCCCAGGGGTAAACGTGAGACACAAGGGTCATGAAATTCACAATTTTGGTAGAGCACCTTAAGACCCTTCCATCTATGAAGAGTGTTTGATTCTACCATATCTGAGTTTTGAGAAAAAGATTTTTGAAATTTCAGTCAATTCAACCCTTTTTGGCCCCTCCATTTAGCCCTGGGGGGTCAGTAAGGGCTCATATGTGCATACCATTAAACTGCTACCCAATACTGATAATGATAACCCAAATTGAATTATTTCAAATGGAAATTAAACAAATGTTAGTCCAAAATGTGATTTCCCTATATAAACTATAATAAAGTTTACCACCTCCCCAGAGGGAAACGTGAGACCCCAGCGTCAAGAAATTCACAATTTTGGTAAAGCACCTTAGGACCCTTCCATCTATGAAGAGTATTTGATTCTACCATATCTGGGTCTTGAGAAGAAGATTTTTGAATTTTAGTCAATTTGACCCTTTTTGGCCCCGCCCCTCAGGCCCCTGAGGGCTGGGGACCAAACCGGCCACCACTTTTGTTGACCTTTGGCCATGGAAGGTTTCTGCAAAATTTCATTGAAATTGGTTCCGGGGTTTTGGAGAGGAAGTCGAAAATGTAAATTGTTTACGGACGCACGCTGGACGCCGGACAAAAGGCGATCCCAATAGGTCACTCGAGACTTTGTCTCAGGTGACCTAAAAAACTCAACATGTACACTTATATAAATGTTTTACTTTAATATGTGATTCAAATCACAAGTAAAAAAAATCATCACTTTCATTAATAATATTAACAGATGATAAAATTATAATGCTTTATGTAATTTTATAAACTGTGGAACTGATCCAAGTCATGCTGTCACCAATATTGGCTGTCTTAACAGACAAGTTCTGCTTAAAAAAGTTCAACAATGTTGGAGGTCTGGCTTAATGAATAAATTAGAACAATTATAATAGCTTTCATTGACAATAACTAATTTGAATACAGAAAATAGACTTTTAAACAATAACTTAACTGTTACAAGATTCCTACTAGTAGATACAATGCAATGATACCTACTTTTGAAAAATGTTAATTCAGAACAAATATGACCTGACAGTCCTCCATCAACTTATTTTTCTATAGTTAGTCGGATAACAGGAAATGATGAAGTTATAAGGTTCTATCGCTTCAGATCTTAATATTTGGGTGTTCAAGTCTGCAAGAAATTTAATACATACATGATGTTTTTCACTGATGTTGAATTCTTATAAAATTTAACACTACCAACACGGTATTTGAATGCTCTCATTACAATCATATTAAATGTATTGGAAATTTTAATGTCACCATTCCTTAAAACAAAGAGTTAAAATGAGTGAAACAGAAAATTGTTAAAGTAATAAAGTACCATCACCTAAGACAGCTTGAACTGATACCATCCTGGTCACACTCCACAAACCCCTGACTACAAAATCACATTTCTGTATCACACTTGGTCTTGGCATCACAGAATAATGTCTGAACAAGGTCATTGCAAACATGTCAAAAGTTATTCTACGGGATCATGCATATTTGAAGGTTCTAGAAAAACAAATATTGGCTGATGTTTGTATGTTGCATATCTGAAGTAATGTGCAAAATATATATGCACTGCTTCATGTCCTGTTCCTTTTCTACTTTAAAAGGTCTTACCATGGTTCTTCCTTTAGTCTGAAGTGTCGGAATTCATTCCAAATTTTTACAAACTGGATTTTAGGAATTTATGGGATAAAACACATGAAGTTGATTGATATTTTCCCTCTGTACAAGAAAGTTTCCAAGCAGCTTAAGCATGTTGGCCACAGAAAAGAGAACTGCCCTGATCAGAGACAGACCAGGGTGACCCCAGGATGACCTATCACAAACCTGGGTGACCCCAGGATGACCTATCACAGACCAGGGTGACCCCAGGATGACCTGTCCCATTGGCCTAGAAGATGACCCCATCAATACTTGACAGGATGGTGTGAATCTTCAGCGTAATGAGTTGACTCCAGTGTTATTGCAAATGTGTTTTATGCTCATCTCCGTTTCGCTTTCCTCACGACCTGCCAACCATCCTCCTCTTCTTCCATGGGATCTGCTGTTAAAACAAAGACAGAAGGTTGTAGTTGAGGTAAGGAGGCTGGTACAATGTTTTACACATTCACACCTGATCAGGTATTGAATTATCTGTTCAATGACACACAGGTAATGCAGGTAAGTTATTTTCTACATTTGTCGTTTACCTATATTCGCTGTAATGATAAAATATGCACTCATTTCAGTAAAAAGGGCAAAACTTTAAACTACAGTGAAACTTTCCTGGTATACCATGATATGATATGATATGACAAAACATGCACAGGAACTACCATATATAAGCAGATTTGACAAACCATGACCAGATATGACATGTATTGACTGGATATGACATGACATAACATGCACAGGAACTACCAGATATAATCAGATTTGACAAACCATGACCAGATATGACATGTATTGACTGGATATGACATGACATAACATGCACAGGAACTACCAGATTTGACATAACATGACCAGATGTGAAGTTATGTTAGATTTACATTTGATTGTATCATTTATAATAAGTCGGATGACTGGACATCAACTCATCGACATTGATTCTATGTACATTAACTCACCAGGCATAATAACTAATTGATATAAGGTCACTTAATAGCATACATCACGTCTCTAGTTAAACTTCAATCAACGTAGCTGGGACTTATGTCAACAGATACTTGATTGGTCTCTGTTAAGACACACGACCAAACAAACCAGGCGTGTTGTACTGGACCTGTGGTAATGGTAGTTACCTGACTGAGACTCCCTCCCACTGCCCTGTTCTGACTGTGAGGTAGATTGTGAAGGAGGAGGTGGAGGAGCACTGGCCCCTCCTGTTTCCATGGCATCATTAACATCCTCGTCATCCTACAGTGAAATTAAAAGGAGAAAAAATTACAAATGTTTATTGATGAAAGAAAGCATAGCAATTGATTGATGCATTAATGAAAATGCCCTTGCTATAAGAATTGATCAGAAAAACAGTGAATAAAGCAAGTTTGAGTAATATTCTTTTTTTAAGCTTAACACTAGATAAAGTTGTACATACCTCGTCTTCCCCATCACTTGGTGCACGGGCACACTGCTGTACCTGAGGCTGGGGCAGAGACTGTAATCTCTGCTGAAGCTCTTCCTCTCGGCCCTCACAGCTCAGACGATACATCCCACATACCAGCGTAGATATCTGGTGACACAGAGAAAATTAAACAGACTAAGATAAGTGCAAAGCAATCGAGCATTTCCTTATCAGAACATCTACACCTCCCTCTTGGAGCAAATTTGACTACCAAAAGTGAAACATGCTAAAGGTCCCCTGGGATTTCTTATAAACATATTTTATTAGTTTACTATAATGTAAAATAAAACAGCTTGCATATACCAAAATATTGGGTACACAATTTACAAATCTGATTTTGACAAAATGAAAATCACAAACCATAGGTAGCAGTGTACAGCAGCATTCTTTGGACATGGGTGATATTTTTGTACAATAAATAACCCCTGTAATATTACATGTATCAAAAAAACATCACTAAAATTAGCATATCAATAATGAAGTGGACTAGGTGGGCTTAACATTTTTTTCAAGAACAAAAGTTGCATTTGGTTTGAGACTAGTTTTGGCCATTTACAAATGTATGTCTACACAACAAAAGCTAGCTTTTTCATGTAGTTGATTTTTGTACCCAGCATATGTATAAATATTCTGCAAAATCCACAGGAATGACCTCTGCTAAAACTTGCATTTTTTTTGATGTGGTAACCATGGTATTGATATTTACAAAACACTTTAGCTTGTTGTTATTTATAATGTAGTTTATAAATATATGTAGGTGTGTTGTGCAGGATGAATCCACTATTCATGTGTATCTGAGACATGCTCTCTATTTTCAGGATCATGCCATTTCTAATGTACACTTACCAGATCAGATCTTAACCAAGACTTAAGCAAATACTTGTTAATATATATATAATAGAACAGTAAAGTGTATGATCACCTATGATCACAGACTTACTCTGGGAAGACTCCCATCATCTATAATGCCTATGATCACAGACTTACTCTGGGCAGACTCCCATCATCGATAATGGTATCAAACTCGTGGTTCATCACATCCTCCAGGAAGTTCTCCAGTTCATACGTCTCAATGTTCTCTGGAGTAAGAGTGAAGACTTAACGACAGTATCAGTATTGTCTGTCAATAATCTACTCAATATTTATGCAATGTGTATAACTTGTTAACTCATTCACCCCAGAAGTTTCATAATGAACTACTCCAACCTTTGATTTGGAAGAGTGCAAATGTGTCTTCAGGGGTGAATGAGTTAATTACTTTTTCGGTCAACTCTTTAATTCGCCATGTTCAGATTAGAATTATGAGAGCTTTACCTTTTTGATACTTGTGGTACAATAATTATAGCAAAAAATCATAGAAATAAATATATTGTTACATGGATTTCATTTTATAAAAACGATGTTGCTCTACTAAAGGGATTCACTCCCTGGACCCCTATATAATTAGGCAGGGAGCATATAATCACTGCACCAACAATCAGGATATTTATCATGTTAACTTTTCTGCAAATTTACTGGGGGAATGCTTTAAACATTTTGATAGAAGAAAAGATTTTTTATTGCATAATTCATTCCAAAGATATCTGAGGAACTTACTATTTTCCTTGAACCACTGGTCAATTGCATACACCATCCATTGTGCTTTCTCTCGACTCTCTCCTCCTCCAAACCCATGACCAACAGCAAGCTGTAATAGATATCATATCAATATTTACATCAAAATCATTTTTTTCTACTATGTTTAGGGTTTAAAGTTTGGGTTAGGGATAAGAGTCTTAGGATATATATAGAGGTAGGATTAAGAGTTTAATGAACAAAGCGAGGGCTAGAACAATTTACCCAAAATATATTGTATGCATTAAGGATAAACGGGTGAAGAAAACATAGCAAAATGAGTGATAAAAAAAATGCAAGAACTGAGAAGCCAGATACAGCAGAGAAACTGGAAGGTGTTTGGGATCCGACATAGTGACCATGAACATGGCCACCATTAAGATTTGGGAACAACACGGAAAGAAATTTACAACATTCGAAAGGAAGCATTTGTAGTTCCAGATCAATGAATTGGCAATTGTAGCATCAAACCATCATGCCATACAGCAAAATCATATTAAAATCATATGATAAAGATAGCCATCTGCATACACTGCATCTGGCCAGTTCTGAATCAAGATGAGGGGGCTCATAGACTCTCGCACCTCTATGGCTAGGAACATCGTATCTAATTCCATGCAGTAGGTAACTGCTTTGACAAATCCTGTACTGTGCTGGAGTAGTCTACAGTGCAGTGTAGACTGTAGAAGGGGTAATATTTGACGTTTTCTAATTCTACTGATTCCATATACTGACCTAGCTACTTAATCAAGTTGAAGATTATGGCTTAAATTTACCACAGGACTGGGAGTCTGAAATTCTGTCAAAAATTAATAATCACAGTAATACAAAAAAACCCACCTATAATGATGTGTTTAAAAAAAATAGAGCATATATATATATATATTGTATTTATTTTTATTACTGTTATTATTAATTTTTGACAGAATTTCAGACCGCTGTATTTACCAATTATTGATCTGAACCTTTTATCATACAAGTCTATATAAGCCCCTGTGATCAGACTCGGTGGTGCTGTTGGGGAGCTAATACATATCTGTTAGGCACGTCAATTGTCAGCAGAGGTCGCTCCAAGGTAGATAACTCTTATACTTCCGTAATGTTAGAAAACGCCATGACACTTTCGCCGGTAATGCTGTATATGGTACCTTGGTTTGTTTAACAAAATGCTTGGTACTAATTGAATGACAGCTACTCAGTTAGTTGGGGAACTCATTATCATGGTATTATATACCGTTCACACGAATGCTGACAAAGTAACATTTCTTTAAAGTATAAAAAATAACATACTTTTCATCCCAATCGTGATAACGTTGTCCCAAGATGACCGCATTTTTGTTTTTCATAATTTTATTTGAGTAGTTAGCTTCCCTTAGCTGATTTCAACTGGTGCATTAGAGAACGTAGATAATTTACAGGTTGTTTATAATATGATTTGTTCTTGCATGTTGATGCACAATTTTTTTCCCTTTGCCACAACCACAGTTTGTGTATGAGTTGCCTCCCCTGTGCTATAGTCGTTTTCCACAAAATAATTTCTGTAGGGTTAGTAAATGTCTATATATTGAACAAATTCTATTTTGTCCGTGTTTATAACCGATATGGAGAACAGTCCTTTAATTTTTTAAGGTAATTTTTTGTTAGTGACTGTTTAACATTTGAAAATTAAGATTTAATATACCTGATATAAAAACTTTGGTAATGTGGAGTTATCAGAAATAAACTATACTTTACTTTAGGATGACAATATTGTAAGGGTTGTCTCCCTTGCTGTGATTTTACTTCAGTATAAGATATTGATTGCTTCCCTTGAGTGTGAGTTTACAGTTGACCTCAGAAAGTATGAATTATTAATAGCATACAATTGTGCAGAAACCAGTAAAGAAACTGGCTTACTGTCCAATTAAGTGACCCATGAAGTATTTACTTTTCATTGGTGAAAGAATTACTTTATATTTTTAGTTGACCCTGCTATATTTGTTCATCATCACAGACACTGGCCACAAGGTTCACGGTTCAATTTATCAATTTATGTCTCAGGTCTATTTGTTTACCATACATAATAACATAAACAAGGAGGCCTCAGATATAAATTGATAAAAATTGAACAGTGTCCCTGTTACCTCAGATATAATTTGAACCGTGCCCCTGTGCACTGACTCAGTGACTGACATAACTTGTCATATAAGCAAGCTAATTAGACGTGCCTAAAAGACCCTGAGTATATGTGTATAAGAATCACAAAATACTCACGATAACATACGATTTGATTAAAAAAGTCATGACTATGATCCCTACCTGAAGCACAGTCCAACTATCAAGAACTCTCTGCACAGCAGTCTGGAACAACGTGTTTTCTGTGGAGGCTGCCATATTTAATGTAATGATGCAAATGGAAAACGCCAAAGGTATTCCGAGAATTCGAACTCTTCAATAAGAAGGGGCGCGTCTAATTACCCAATACTACCCAATACCACCCAATACTACCCAAAACCACCCAATACTACCCAATACTACCCCATACGATCCAGTTATGAACCAAATACTTCTTTATTACTGTGAAATATCACCTTTGTAGACGTTATTTACTTCCATCTGCCATATTTTATCGGGAAATATGCG